TTTTGTGACAGAGTCTTGCCCTGTCCTCCAGGCTGGAGCGGAGTGACATGATCCCAGCTCACCGAAGCCTCGACCTTCTGGGCTCAAGCAATCCTCCCACCTCAGCCTCCTGGGGGAAATGGTTTTTTGCCTCACAATGTTATTGAAAGGATGTGATCGTCTAAAGCATATCTGCAGGAAGGAAAACGTCATCGGTTGCTCCCACATCTCCATGGGGTTGGCAGAAGGAAGTCTGCTCCTTTGTCAAGGAAACCCCCCATCCCCACCCCAGCTGAGAATCAAGAGAGGCAGGAGCCACTCCACTGGCTACAAGGAAGAACAGGAAATGTTGGCTTTTCTAGTCAACAGCTGAAAGCCATCCATTTTTTGGGCTCAGCCGCCAGAGGGTGGGAGGCCTAAGGGGGTGATGGGAGCCCCGCAAGAAGGCAAGGGGAAGAAAGAAGCCGGAGAAAGGTCTCCTGGGGGAGTGGCAGTCACAGAGCAGTGTGGCAGGGTCTGCGACTTTGCAGACAGAACATGACGGTCACGAAGATACGGTGGCAAGAGGGGCTGAGCATGGATCCGGAAGCAGAGATTCAAAGTAAGGGGTGACAAAAGGCCATAACAGCCCCCTGGGCTCCCTGAGAAATAGCAGGGAAGGCTCTGGACTTCCCACAGCCCAAGGGATGGAGACTTGAACCATTATATCTGACTATTAAAGGAAAGGAGCTGGGCACGGCGGCTCACACCTGTAATCCCAGCACGTGGGGAGGCCGAGGCAGGCAGGTCATTTGAGGTCAGAAGTTTGAGACCAGCCTGGTCAACATAGTGAAACCCCATCTCTATTAAAAAAATGCAAAAATGACCAGGTGCAGGGGCTCGCAACTGTAATCCTAGCACTTTGGGAAGCAGAGGCAGGTGGATCACTTGAGGTTGGGAGTTTGAGACCAGCTGGCTAACATGGTGAAATATAATATAAAAATATAATATAAAAATTAGCCAGATGTGGTAGCACATGCCTGTAATCCCAGCTACTCTAGAGGCTGAGGCAGGAGAATCACTTGAACCTGGGAGGCGGAGGTTGAAGTGAGCCGAGATCATGCCATTGCACTCCAGCCTGGGGGGCGGAGCAAGACTCTGTCTCAACAAAACAATGCCGACAACAAAAAGTCCTGAGATGTCATATACGCCAATTCCTGTGGTCTAGATGTTTTCCTCATGGCTAATTTCAAGCTCCCTGTGGTTTAACAACCATTCCCCAAATTTCGGAACATTTAACACCGGGCTCTAGTGGGCCAGCACACGGCTGCAGCCACTTGTAAGGTATTCAAGTACTTGGAATGTGCTTGGGCCACGGGGAGCACTTTGTGAACACTCGCTGTGATGGCAAGCCAGTCAAGTCAACGGTGTTCAGGAAGTCCCCGCCCTCCCCCCACTTCCCAGAATAGGAGATTGCGGTTTGGAGAAGCTCACCTGTTTGCCCCAGGTCACAGCACAAGCCACTTACTTGCCATTCTACCTTCCATGGGCACTGTTCTCTCAGCAAGGTTGTACATAAGCCTGCATGTGACTGTCATCCTGCACCCTCCCTACAGGGGATTTCCCAGGCCCCATAAAGATGGAAGCCCTGCCGCCTCCCAGATTGGCTGCTGTATCCCCAAAGCCCTCAGGTAGCTTGGCAGGCAGGAATCTCTCACTGGCAGGTCCTCCTGCCAAGCCACTCCTGCCCCAGTGCTCCTGAGCTCAGATCTGCCCCGGCTTGTGCCTGCCACACGTGGGCTTGGGGAAGTGCTGTTTTTGGCAGCAGGTGAGCAGGGGCCCCTTATCCCTGAGGATGTTAGGTGATGAGGATGCGTGACTCACTTTGCTCTGGTGGGTGTGAGGCTGCAGCCAGGGGAGGGCCAGATCCTAGGGCAGGAGAGATGTTTCAGTCCTGCAGGCGGGTTGGCTCAAGGCCAGGTAAAGGCTCGGGCCACAGAGCCATAGTTACCTGAGGCTGGACACAGGTGCCCTTCAGGCAGGGTGGAGGGGTCTTGGTGCTAGCTGTTCCCTGGACTGAGCTGGTTGTCACACAAGTGTGGCTGCTGAGCTGGGCTTGTAAGAGCCACGTGGCTGAAGGGATAAAGGGACAATTCCCAGGGCAGGAGAGAAACTGCTGAGTGGCAGGTGAGGGGTTAATGAGCAACACCTGCACTGAGGTGGGGTCCTAAGGTCTCTGGAGAAGGGAGCTACTCCCCTACCCAGGGGAGCCCAGGAAATGAAATGCCCTGGAACTTTTGTGCTTGGGGTTGGGGAAGAGCCCCTAGTGGTCTTGGTGAGCATAGCATGGGGAGAGATGGTGGTGGGACTGTGGCCCCTGGGAGGTGGGAGGAGGAACAGGTGAGAAGGGAGAGAGCAGGTGGGAGTGGCGGGCGAGGGCAAGGGATGATGCGGAGCTACTTCTCAGCTAGTTTGGCAATGAAGCCAAGGGCCCGATGTGGGACGTGGCAGAGAGGGGCCAGGTGGGGCAGGGAGGGGTGGCACTGTGGCTGGAGACTTCAGGACAGGGCACCCACCACCCAGGACCTTCTGAGACTCTGGCCTCTTCTCTGCAGTGCTGCTAGTGGGGGCAGTGGGCTGGGCTGGGGACTGGAGGATGGGGCGAGTGGGGAATGGGACTGTAGCTGCCCACCTTCCTGTGTCTCCACGCTGGACCCCTCCCAGTGCTGCTCAGTTCACAGGGCCACTTCCTAAGTCCTCATTGAGTGAGAGGGACAGCCTACCCTCTTTTGCACTTAAGAAGGCCAGATTCTCATCCAAGCCTTCTGGGCAAGCTTGGGCAAGTCTCTAGCCCTCTCTGAGCCTCAATTACCTCATCTGGAAAACAAAATACCTCTTAGGGGTGCCATGAGGATGAAATGGGAGGGAATGAGACTGGAGGGGCCTGGGACCCACAATGTCAGGTTCTATGGCACATGGCATGTGCCCCACCAATGTCAGCTTCTCAGGGATGAGCCTAGGAAAGAGGTGGGGCAGACCTCTTCCTCATATCCTCCCCATCATGTGCCCGGGGCTTGGAGTCAGCTGGACTGCAGCCGGCCAGGCCTAACTCCAGGAGGTGCTCTAAGAGCCCAGGATGGAAGGCCAGCACCTCCCATCCCCCACCAGGAAAAGGGGCTCCCACTTCCTACTCTTGACTCCCAGTCCCTTCTGGCTCTGAAGGCCTCTGTGACCCTCCATGGGCCTGGAGGTTCCCCAGAGGTGGGAGGCTGCAGAGGGACTGTCCTGATCTAGGACACAGCCTGGCTTTCTGGGAAGATGGAGGAATATCATATTCTTCCTGAAATAATTGTCCTAGAGCTATTTCCAGCACCTCTTAGTGCCCAGGCCAGAAATGGGTAGTGATCTCGATGCCTGGGACCTTCAGGACAAACAGCCCAGAGAGGCCCAGCCCTCTCGCTGGGTGCCTGCCCACCCGGCCCCCTGCCCAGAGCTGAGCCAAGCCCTGACTCAGGCCCCACAAGGGAACTCTGGACACTTCCCTGGTCCACTGAGCTCCCTTGCACTCCTCTTCTGCCTGCTGCGGGCAGCCCATTTGATCCCTCCTCCTGGCTCCCTGTTTCAGCTGCTGTAACTACCAAGCCCAGGCAAAAGAGTCTTCACTCCTAGTAACGTGGACTGTGGACTGTGACGGGCCCACACAGGAGCTTCATTACTAAAGAATTTGTAATCTTGGATCTGATCGTTAGCAAACATCAGATAAACCCAAACTGGAAAACATTCTCTGAAATAACTGGCATGCGCTCTTCAAAAATGTCAAGGTTATAAGCATCAAAGAAAGGCAACAATTCCAGGTCAAAGGAGTCCAAAGAGTCATAAGAAAGAACTAAACACAATGCCTGATCCTGAAATGAATCCTGGGTCAGAAAAATAATCGCCACCAAGAACATTAGAGGGACAATTGGCGACATTTGAATATGGGCTGTAGATTGGATACTAGTACTGTAGCAAAGTGATTTGCGTAACTTGACTTGGATGGTTACAGGGTGCGTATGTTAGAAAGTGTCTTTGTCGGCCCGGTGTGGTGGTGCACACCTGTAATCCCAGCACTTTGGGAGGCCGAGGTAGGTGGATTGCCTGAGGTCAGCAATTTGAGACCAGTCTGGACAACATGGTGAAACCCCATCTCTACTAAAAATAGAAAAATTAGCTGGGTGTGGTGGCTTGTGCCTGTAGTCCCAGCTACTAGGGAGGCTGAGGCAGGAGAATCGCTTGAACCTGGGAGGTGGAGGTTGCAGTGAGCCAAGATCATGCCACTGCACTCCAGCCTGAGCAACAGAGCGAGACTGTCTCAAAAAAAAAAAAAAAAAGTCTTTGTTCTTCCAGCATGAAATACACATAGAAGTAATTGGGGTGAAAGATCCTGTTGTCTGCAACTTAATCTCAAAATAAGTATGTGTGTAAGGGAGGATGATAAATATGGCAAAAGTGTTCATGATTAGGGGATTTGGATGAAGAGTATATGGGAGTTCATTGTCATAAGTTTTCAGTAAGTCAACATTTTTCAAAATAAAAAGTACAACTGTATATATTCAACATTTGAGGGAATAAAATCATGATGAGTGTCTTTTCTTGGCACCTACCACAAGACCTCAAAGGAGAATGTTGTTCATTCGTTTAACAAATATATACTGGATGCCTTTTATAGACCAGGCCCCAGTGAGGGCCACTGGGTTTTGAAAAGTTCTGAAATTTGCTCCCGGAAGAGTTCGGATATCGAGGCTGACCACCGCAAGCCGGAATTATATTTGAGCTAGCATAGATCTTCCTGGCTCTCGCTGTAATTAAACACGAGAAAACCAAGGGCAAAGGCTGGAAAACAGCCACCCCAGCCTTGTTTCAAAAATAGGGCCCATCTGTCCTGGCAGGCTTAAAGTGGCTCTGGCCCTGAGGCAGGGGCTTGACCAGGATGACCTCACAGTCCCCTCCCACATCTAGGATTCCATGATTCTATGACATGCTCAGTAGTCCAGAGTGGCAACATGAGAGCATCCCTCAACGAGAGCAAGAGGAGGTCTAAATCATCTACCTCCTAAAACACAGAGTGAGAAGGGAGAGGCCCCGGTAGCAGGCTAGGGCCAGGCAGCCAGAGAGGGAAGGGAGGGGCCCTGCGGGGATTAGTCCTCCCTGGCCTCTTACTTTTCCAGAGGAGGAGATGGGGTGGGGTTGGACCAGGCAGGGAAGAGGCAAGGGTCTGGACATTCCACCCATATCAGACCCAAAAGACAAGGGCAGCTGGGGGCCCAGGCTGGGAGGAGGGCAGGCAGCTGTTTTATGGGTGGGATGTGCTTAAACACTGCTCTGCTTTCACTAGGCAGACGTGGAAAATTCCCTTTGAGCTGGTAGCAGTTGGGGAGAGAAGTCAAAGCCTTCCTTCCGGCTAGGAGATGGGGTGGAGTGAGTCCTGGGGAGCCAAGGAACAATAGGGCCCACAGAGACTGGCACTGTTCCTGGCTGGGCCTGGGGACGGGAGGTGGGGTTAAGTGGATGGGACATCTCTTTGGCCTAGTCAGGTCTCCGTCTCTGAAAAGTGCCCACGTCTGGGCCAGGAAGAGTGGGAACCTCTCCTCCTGCTGGGTGGGTGAGGAGATTCTATACTGTCAGAGAGGACCCAGGCCAAATCCCACAAAAAGTTCTGATCTCATAATTCAGCCCCATCAGCAGGCTTATCACACCACCTGGCCCTCAACCTCATCAGGGGTTTTTTAAGTCAGGATCCACTTAGTACAGGGTTACTAGAGCCCCTACTTCTCACCAAGACCCCATCTAGGCAGGCAGAGCAGGCGTGGTGAAAATTAGCCTTAGCAGCCTACAGCGGAGGCCAAATTCACCCTGACGACATGGCATTGTCTATTAAGGGTCAACAGACACGCCCAAGATGCCACCAGCATCCCACCCACTTACAAGCTGTGTGGTCTTAGTCACATCATCTCTCTGAGTCTCAGTTTCCCCAACAACTAGGAATAGAATAGTAACTACCTCCTTGATTTATAACGGGAATTAAAGGAGTTAGCCCACAGGGGACACCCAGTGAGGACTGGGCACAGAGTGAGAGTGTGTATAACGTTGCATCTGTGCTAAGACACAGTTTTTAGTATCAGGGTGCATTGGACAGTTGATGGTTAGCTTTTTTATATGACCTCAAAAGAAGGTGTGTCTCTGCTTGGAATTTCACCTTTAGAGATTCAGTCGTTGGCCTCTGTAGTCTTCTGGAGTCCCTGCTTCAAGGAGTAATGGGAATTTCCAAATGTGGGCTAAAGCTAAAAGAAAAAGAAGGCACTGCCCCACTTATTCTAGGGGGGCTCCTGGTCTCAGTCATCTGGGCAGTCTGGTCTATGCCTCCCTGTCTTATGCTTCCCTGCTACATTCTGAAGAAGAGGCTGTCAGTTTTCCAGTGTGAGAATCCCTGGGCCTGGGAGGAAGGTGGGGAGAGCAGCAGGGCATTGACCCCTGGGGGCAGAGGGAACACCTGGAGAGAAAGCCTGGAGGGTGGAGGCAGGGAGCCCAGCTAAGATGAACTAACTCTGTCTTTGTCAGGCCCCAGTAGCCAGTAACCAACCTGCAGACGCTCTCACCGCTGAGCCACGAAGCTTTGTCCACCCAGCCAGGACAATGTCTAGATACCAGGAGAGCCATTCCAGCCCTCACAGCCACATGGGCCATCCCAACAATACATCCTTTCAAGCCCGAACTCCAGGCTGGATCAAATGCACCGGCCCAAACGAGGTGAAGAGCCTCAAGCACCACCACACCCCGAGCTCAGAGTCCAGCAGCTACAGGAGCTGCTCTGAGCAGCCCTTCAGCCTTGGCTCCAGTAGGCTTCCACTGGGGAGAATCTGCATGGGCCGGCCCTACCACTCCAACTATGTAGAAACAAGTCACCTGGTGAAGCCCAAGGCGGCCAGAAAGCCTGCTTGCCAGGAGAGCCCCTGCTGCCCGCTCTGTATGGATCGCCTCTCAGACCCTTCCAGCCACGCCTTCCTGGACCAGCTCATCCAAGGCATCAACTACTTGGACCGATCCACCAACACCTTTAACAGCTGCCACAAGACACTCCAGAGCTTGCCAAAGCTTGCAGCCAACTACGTGGAAAGGGTTGCCAACTCCCTCGACTTAGACCACCAGGACCACCCCTTGCCCCAAAGCTACTCCAGCCCCAGCACCAGCATGGCCATCCCCGACAGCTCCACCACCAGCAAGTGCCTGGTGCCACCCCTCAGGGGTGCCAGTGCCCTGCAGTGCCTGGACGACTCCACCAACACGAGTTACCCGCGCAGATCTCACTGCCAGAACTCCACGCGTACAAAGCTGCCCGAGTTCCCTTTGCTTGGCAATGGCCTCTTTGCCTTAAGTCGCCTGCCCAAGGTCTGGGAAGCAATCCGCTCAGGCTGGAGTGCCCCTGAGTCTGTCTCCAAACCCCCAAGCTGGTGGTGATGCTGACGCCAACCATGAAATGGGCATGTGCCCCTCAGGCCACAGTTGTGGAAAATAAAACATCTGTGGCAAAATACTTCTTCCAAGACTTTGTTGGAGGGGAATGGCCATTTAGATCAGGGTTATAAGCTCAGGGGCCTCTGGGGCCAGGTAGGGAAAAGTGAACTGAGAGAATTAGGCTGGGAGTGATAGAGACTGTGGCTGGGTGGAAAGGGACTGCCTAGTCTAAACCCACCTCTTGAATGGGTTGAGGCCTTTACAAGAGAATCCAGGGACCTGGTTTTTATAGGTCAATGACAAATTCAAAAATGTCAGGATGATCTGTGGGCTGAGCAAAAATACTTGCAGGCTAAATGTGAAGCCACAGGTCTCAGTTTGGAATCTCTGGTTTAGATTTTGAATGGATCACTGGGGAGGTTGCTAGCCTCCCTTAGCCTCAGTTTCCCCATGTGAAGAAATGGCTGGCTGTCCATTCCCAACTCTTATGGGTATTTCTCTCTTTTCAGGATTGTTGATTTAGAACAATTCAGTGTGAGTGGAAATGTAGAATTAATACTAATTATAAGAAGAATAGAAAAAAAAGAATAACAAACACTCAAAGAGTACTTATTATATAGCAGGAATTGTTCTAAGTACTTGATACATTTTTATTCTTTTTTTTTTTTAAAGACAGGATTTCACCATGTTGGTCAGGCTGGTCTTGAACTCCCGTCCTCAGGTGATCTGCCCGCCTTGGCCTCCAAAGTGCTTGGATTATAGGTATGAGCCACCACGCCTGGCCTTTGAGACAGAATCCTGTTCTGTTGCCCAGTCTGGAGTGGTGTAATCTTGGCTCACTGCAACCTCCGCCTCCCAGGTTCAAGCGATTCTTCTGCCTCAGCCTCCCGAGTCACTGGGATTACAGGCGTGCACCACCACATTCTGCTAATTTTTGTATTTTTAGTAGAGACGGGGTTTCACCATGTTGGTCAGGCTGGTCTCGAACTCCTCACCTCCTGATCTGTCCGCTTCGGCCCCTCAAAGTGCTGGGATTACAGGTGTGAGCCACTGCACCCAGCTCGTATTTATTCCTTTTTTTTTTTTTTTTTTTTGAGACAGAGTTTCGCTCTTATTACCCAGGCTGGAGTGCAATGGCACGATCTCGGCTCACCGCAACCTCCGCCTCCTGGGTTCAAGCAATTCTCCTACCTCAGCCTCCCGACTAGCTGGGACTATAGGCTGTGCCACCATGCCCAGCTAATTTTTGTATTTTTAGTAGAGATGGAGTTTCACCATATTGACCAGGATGGTCTCGATCTCTTGACCTAGTGATCCACCCGCCTCGGCCTCCCAAAGTGCTGGGATTATAGGCGTGAGCCACCGCGCCCAGCTGTATTTATTCTTTTTTTTTTTTTTGAGACGGAGTTTTGCTCTTGTTATCTAGGCTGGAGTGCAATGGCGCGATCTCAGCTCACCGCAACCTCCGCCTCCTGGGTTCAGGCAATTCTCCTGCCTCAGCCTCCTGAGTAGCTGGCATTACAGGCACGCACCACCATGCCCAGCTAATTTTTTGTATTTTTAGTAGAGACGGGGTTTCACCATGTTGACCAGGATGGTCTCAATCTCTTGACCTCGTGATCCACCCGTCTCGGCCTCCCAAAGATTTATTCTTTTAAAGGTGTGATTTTAATGATCACGGCCTAGGTTACACATAGAGTAAAGCTTCCTGGTGGCTAGCGGGAGAGGCACTGGAACAGGCGTCCAGGGATAATAGCAGGTAGTAGGATGGCCCTTTTTGAGAAATCTCTGCAGAGTGGTTCCGTCTGTGCCAGGGGAGGGCTGGAAGGGTCAAAATGAGCTGGTCCCCTTTTCCCACTATGCTGAATTTCTTGCTGGGAATATCTGGGAAAATGTTCCCTGGGCCACCTGGGCCAAATTTCAGAGACCCAACTGAGTCTGGTGCTGGCACATAGGGTGTCCAGCAACCCACCATCCCGCTGGCTAAAGGACCCTGGAGATGGGGATTCCAGCCTAGTCCCACTGGTAGCCTGCCCTGAGATCCTGGATCTATCACTCCTCACTCTGGCCCTCTGATTCCCCATCTGTAACAAGGGTGCAGTAGCCTTGATGATCTCTAAGCGTCCTTAGACTCCGATGTTTCTGAGTGTCTCCTCTTGGTCCTAGGCCAGGCCTGGAGCCTCTCAGATTGAGAGTGCCTGCACCCACGAACTCAGGCCTCCTGTATTCTGAACCATCTTCCCAGGCTACCCAGGGGCCATTTCAGGCCTCAGGGCCCATTTTGATCTGGTAATAAATTTCAGTCTTCAGGTCTCTTATTGCTTGAGCTCTCCTCATCACCTTGGCAATGTGAAGGCCAATAGCAGCTGAGACTTCAGAATGGGACTGACCTTGAGAGAATGCAGAACCTGGGGGCCCACCGGGTCCCATGGCATTTAGAGGCAGTGGCCAGGCAAAGAAAGTGACAAACCTGAGTATCCCCACCGTGAGATCACCACAGCGGTCCCAAGGCAGGAGGAGGGGAGGGGCGACTAACTCCTGGCCCACTGAACTCCCCCACACTTCTATTCCATCTCTGGAGGACAAAAGGGAACCTCCCGGTACCCATAGTGTGGCCTGTTCCTTCCTCTGTTGACCCCTTCCCTCCGCAGGGAGAAGACTTTGGCCCTGGTCTGGTGGGTCCTCATCTTAACCAGTGACCCATTCCCCAGGCAAACATTCACAGGAACACAGCTTGTTAGAATTCATTAGGCCCAGTTCAAGAGATAGTTAAAGGGTGTCCTGACTTCCAAAGCTTCTGTCTCCATCCAAAGCCACCCCTTCCCATTCCAAGGCTGTATTTTCCCAGAGCGGTCTGTCCCTGACTCTCCTGGAGATGCTCACCTACAAAACCTTGCATTTTCTCCCAGTTAGAGTGTAAGATCCTTGCCTAGGCCACTGCTCTTAAGGTCTCCAGTATCTAGCCCATTCTGGCTCATGACAGGGACCTAAATATTAGATTAACCTTGATTACAGGGACTTGCGCTCAGTAGGTGCTCAGTAGTAATAGGTACTATTATCCAAAGGATGATTACAGGGTCTCATGCAATGGATGTTCAATAATTAACAATAGTAATGATGACAACTAACATTAATTAGGCTCTTGGGTTTTTTTTTCACTTTCTGTTTTTTCTGAGACGGAGTCTCACTCTGTTGCCCAGGCTGGAGTGCAGTGGTGCGATCTTGGCTCACTGCAACCTCCACCTCCTGGGTTCAAGCGATTCTTCTGCCTCAGCCTCCAGAGTAGCTGGGATTACAGACATCCACCATATCAGCTAATTTTTGTATTTTTAGTAGAGAGGGGGTTTCACCATGTTGGCCAGGCTGGTCTCAAATTCCTGGCCTTAAGTGATCCACCTGCCTTGGCCTCCCAAAGTGCAAGGGTTACAGGCCTGAGCCACCGCACCTGGCCTTTTTTTTTTTTTTTTTTTTTTTTTGAGATGATGTCCCACTCTGTCACCCAGGCTGGTGCAATCTTGGCTCATTGCAACGTCTGCATCCCAATTTCAAGTGATTCTCCTGCCTCAGCCTCCTAAGTAGCTGGGATTACAGGTGCCCACCACCACGCCTGGCTAATTTTTGTATTTTTAGTAGAGATGGGGTTTCACCATATTGGTCAGGCTGGTCTTGAACTCTTGACCTCAAGTGATCCGGCTGCCTCCTCTTCCCGATGGACAGGTTGTGAGTCACTGTCCCCAGCCACACATCAACTCTTTAAGGATGGTACCATTATCCTTACTTTACAGATGAGCAAACTGAGGCACAGAGTGATCAGGTATAAATGATCATGATAAAGATGATTAAAGCACACAGAACACAGTGGCTCTTCAGAAAATGGTTGGTATTAACATTACAGAGTACTACAGACAGAATAGGTGCACGATAATATAATTATTTTCACGGAAACAACATCTTGCAAGCAGGTGTTCTGTAAATGCGCACAGTAGGTGCTTAGTGAATGGTAGATATTATTATAGAGCCCTGTACCCAGTAGGTGCTCAAATGAGGTTTTCGCATTGGTTGGGGATTGGATGGTATCCCAGAAAGACAGGATCTCTGCCCTTGGACCAAATGCTTCTCGGGATAGATACTCACTGTTCACAAATCCCTTCCGCAAGTTATTCAGCCAGAGTCCAGGGAAAATAAGCCTATTGGGGAAGGTCCTCTGCTCCATATGGCCATGCAGAGGCCACAGGAAGGCTCCTAGGTCTACAGTTCAAGCCATGCATCTGCAGGGTCCATGTAAACAGGAAGCAGCATGCTGACTGCAGACAATGCCACAGCCTGCTGTGCTATGGCCCTTGTGTTCAGGAGCAGCCTTGGTGTCCCCGTGGCTGAGGAAAGTCTTTCACACCTGCTGAAGTATGTTGCCATTGAGCACTCACACTGTGTGCCAGGCATGCTGCCACGGCCTGAAACATAGGCGCTCAACCCTCCCCACCCTGTCAGCTAGGTTTCAGTGCCCCATTTTGCAGAGGGGGAAACTGAGGCTTAGTGAGGGGAAGTGACTTGCCCAAGTGTCTGCAGCTGGTAGCAGAGTTAGAATTTCAACCTAGGGTTCTAACCCTCAACCAATGTCCTTTTCATCCAAATTGCAGTTTCTTTTTGTTTATTTATTTTTATTTCAATAGTTTTGGGGAAGAGGTGGTGTTTGCTTAGCTGGGTAAGTTCTTTAGTGGTGATTTCTGAGATTTTGGTGAACTCATCACCTGAGCAGTGTACACTGTACCCAGTGTGTGGTCTTTTATCCCTCACCCACCTCCCATCCTTCCCCCCACCAAGTCCCCAAAGTCCATTATAAAATTCTTATGCCTCTGCATCCTCACAGCTTAATTCTCACTTATAAGTGAAAATATAGGATGCTTGATTTTTCCATTCCTGAGTTACTTCACTTAGAATAATGATCTCCAACGCCATCCAAGTTGCTGCAAATGCCATTATGTCATCCCTTTTCATGGCTGAGTAATATTTCATGGTCAAAGTGCAGTTTGTTTTCCTTTACTTTTTTTTTTTTTGAGA